AAGCATGCTTAACAAAATCAGCATCCACATGCATTTTTCCAAGGGTCTGTCCCTAGCAATGGAATACAATGGCATCGCATATGATGGTGGCAAAGCGGTATTATCCATATCTCCTAAACTCAACTGAGCAGTATTCTTCAAATTTGACCATTTACGAGCTCCTAAAGATATTGTACCAAACTGAATGTCCACCACAGTACTGAACATGTGCTGATTGACTCTTCTAGATTTTGCACGACATTGCAAGATGTATAACTGGGACCTTTTTAGTCCCCCAATACAACTTGGACACCCTTACAAACTTTCAAAACTCCACCTCCACCTCCACCTCCACCAAAGAACTCATAACTCTTTGAATTAAGGATAAACAACGAGATGGAATTCTTCTTCAAATCTGGAACATGTCGAACCTGACCAAGTGTTCTAATTGTCCCATACAATAGCTTCAATTTGACCGTACCAATTCCAGCAACCCGACAAGGAGCGTTGTCTCCCATAACCACGACACCTTTGAAAACGATTTCATATGTAGTAAACAAGTTCTTATTAGGAAACATATGAAACACACACACTGAATCCAGAATCCAAACCTCATCTGGTTTAGACTCGATGTTAGAAATAGTCAAGAGATTTCCATCACTTACAATATTATCTGTGAGGTCTATTTTACTTGAAGTCTCTAATAGTTTTCCATATCGACTTGCAGTCAACTTTTCTTTATTCTGCAATTTGTAGCAATCCTTCTCAAGTGCCCATTCTTCTTGCAGAAATTACAAATCTGATTACTGAACTTAAATTTTGATCTGCACCTTCCAGAACCACCATGAGTTTGGCCTTCTCCATTTTGACCTCTGAAACTAGATGCTTCATCTTCTCTTTTGAAAACAAAGCATCATACACCTTCTCTATGGTGAGAGTATCACGACTATACAAGATCGTGTCTCTAAATGAAGAAAACGAAGCGGACAACGAACACAATAGGATCAAGGCCAAATCTTCTTCATCATACTTTACTTCCAAAGTTTTCAAATTAGCGACGACCTCTTTAAATATGATCTTCCAATGATCCTCCTAATGCCATTCGATGAGAGTATAAGCGATGTTTGAAATGCAACTTGCTTGTCAGACTTTTAGTCCTGCACAATTGCTCCAACTTCAACCATAAAGCAGCTGTTGAACCCTTGTTCAAAACATCCTGAAGAATGGTATTCGATAGATGAAGATGAATGTGAGAAACTGCATTCTTATCCTTCCGTAATTTTTCCTTCGACGTTAAAGTTACGGGAATTTTGTCAATTCACAGCAATGCATCATCCAAATCCAGTTGTGCGAGTACTGCACACATCTTAACTTGACATAACGAAAATCTAATGCTCCGATCCAAAAGAAGAATGTCATATTTCGTGTAAGCCATCACAAACAAAAAATTTCGAACAAATCAAACCCTGAGCTCGTACGGAACTGCTGAACATGCCTTTGATACCACTTGTTGAGAAACAAACAAGATACCAGAGTCGCTATGATATTACTTGTTGTGAAATCAACCACCGGATTGAGATATTGAAGTTATATAGCACTATAATGAAATATTTGATTACAAGAAAAAAAATAAAAGAAGACAAGAAAAATATGACAGAGGAATTAGGATATTTCATTGCACCAATAATAATGGAGAAATATACAATTGATACTAAAATTCTAGTAGTCTCTTTTATCACATTATGAAATTGTATAGAAGAGCCTATTTATAGGGAACATGTAGGGGGCATCCAAACCCTCATCGTAGAGTTGTTAATGAAGTAGGGTACCAAAAATTGAGTCCAAAACGAAAAATGCAAAAAATCGAACCAGGTACAGGTGGCATCGCGCCTCGGTGCCCATGCCCGGCGCCGCAGCGCCTAGCGTTTTGCCTAATTTTTTTTGTTCCAAGTTGATTTCTCCATCTTGAACTCTTCTTCAAGTTCAATATCAATTTCTAACTCTCAATAAGCTTCCAAACTAGAACTTCAACTTGACATATGACTCAAATAGCATTTCAAACTGAATTCTTCTTGACGTGCACTTCATTTAGAATTCTTTAATTATTTCAACAAGGAATTTATGTCACACTCAAATTCTAACACCTAACTTATGGAAAATGCCAAGGTTGTACTCTATTGATTATCGTTCGTGATTTTCTTATTATTGAAGGCGAGCCCTAGCTCGTTGTTTTCTCATTATCGAAGGCAACCCCAACATATGGATTCCTTATTAATCAGAAGCCAAGCCCACGAGCAAGTGCTCAAAGCCTTGCCCCGTGCAAGCACCTCGAAATCTTGCCTACGAGCAAGCACTTAAAGTCTTACCCCGTATAAGCATCTCAAAGCTTTGTCATGAGCAAGCACTCAAATTCTTGCCCTAAGCACCTTAAAGCCTTGTCTACAAGCAAGCACCCAAAATCTTGCCAGCGAGCAAGTACTCAAAACCTTGTCCCGTACAAGCATCCTTACAAATACTTCGTACTTTCAACTAAAATTAATCTTAAAAATCATCATGTCAAAGGATCGATCCTATAAACTCGAAGCTTTCTTTCCTAGATCTATGTGCTTGGGGGCCTATCAACACTTCTTTCACTCGACACCTGAAGCAGTCAACACTCAACTCGAGCAATATGCATCTCATCTTGGAGTCTCGAGCATTCTAAGCAACATCCTCAAGTCCCAAACATGGATGCACATGGGCCAATGATATGGTCATTTTTTAGGACTCTACTTCCATCATGCACTTATCCAACTGCAATAAGATTGGATCCTAACTACCCTATAACTCCTCATATTGAAATACTTAAGTCTTTTACAACTCTTAAATAGATAAGACTTCAAGTATCCTAATCCTATAAAGAGCGTGCTACTTATCTCTATAAATAAATGTCTCAGTTCATTATTCAATTATGATTTTACATTCAATTTATAGTCTTGCGCTTATATTTCCCATTTTTGCTAATTTAAGCATCGGATTGTTTCAGGTGCTGGAGATTTGGTTCGTGATCATCCTCAATCCTCAAACTTGAGAATCGACATGTGAGATTTTTGGTAACATCAGAATGTATTCATTCTTACCTAGGATTGGTACCTTGCATGTTATAGGGTTGAACGATGTGAAAAGAATATAATTTACTAATTTCTAGATTAATCAATAAAACAATTTTATATAATTTGCATAAATAATAAAAAAGTTAATATAATTATATTAAAAAATAAAATATCTTTTAGATATACTATCATTTTTACTACTTCTCTGCTACTTGTAACTGTATTGGACGTTGAAAGCACCAAGAAAAGGTGAGATTAGGATTTCAAAGATTTAAACTCGTAGTTCGGAGTGACTATCAGAGGCGAGAATTCATGAATAATGTGGAGACATGAATGAACTTGATAATTATATGTCAAGCGAAGCACAATATTACCATGCATCCATATTGTAGGCATAGTTGTAGAGATGTAAAAATAAGTCTTTAAAATTGAGTGGGTTGTGTCAAGTTCTAGAAAAATTAAACAAAATGGAAAATAAAATTCGTTGGAAAGTCAACTCGAAAAACCTAAGAGACTATCTGGAGAGGGTATGATGTCAAATGACAGGTAAATTGGACCAGCAAAAGTCCGTTCAAGCTTGGTGTGGTGGAATCATGCTCGTTAATTTAGAAAAAAAAAAAACCTTTTTCATGCTATTCAATTCGTTTTGACAAACGATCAGGGCCACATGGGCCCTGGACTATTGGGGGAGGGCATTGAGTGACTACTTTAGGAAAAAAAACCTTATTCATGCTATTCAATCTGTTTTGACAAACGGTCAGGGCCACATGGGCCCTGGACTAATTGGGGGGAGGGCATGGAGTGACTGGGCCCATGTGGGCCCGTCACTCTAACAAAACCCGATCATACTAGCCCTATACAATTCAATTTATACTTTCGCGGACTCAATATTTTGCATATCTTCCCTTGACTATAAGACTCCATTGTATTTTTTTATCACTCAATTCAAGTTCAAGTAACTGACACAAAACGTTCCCACTACTTGCCTTTTTTGTGAAAAAACGTCCATACATTTGACCATCAGATTGATCGTACATGCGCAAATCACTCTCGTAATCTCATTCAATCCAATTGCTCCGTCAAATGATCGAGTGCAGTCCACTCGTGTAATTTGATCAAGACACTAATTGATTATCTTTTTTCGAAAATTCAATGTTTGATATGTTGAAATTCGAGATTTGCATCTCATCACAAAATGTCGTTTTTGGGTTATATCGATTTTTTCAAAAAAATTGAAAAAAAGCATTCTCGAACTTCGAAGTTTGACAAGCTGGAGTGAAATTCGAAATTTGCAACTCTACACAAATCTTAAGTTTTGGATGACATCTTGAATGTTTCAAAAAGTTGAGTAAAAATCATTCCCGAACATTTGAGATTCCGTGGTGAAGCAGAATTCGAGATTTGCAACAGCTTTGGTAACATCTAGAATTTTTCAAAAAAATTGAGTAAAAAGCATAAAACCAAAATAAAAACCTTATACAAAAATCTTAATTATTCTATATACAATTATTTTGTCAAAATAAATATACATTTTTATTCAAATGAAAAAAAAAAGCATCAAATATATACTATCCGGTTGAGAAAAGCACTTTTCTACACAGGGCCATACTAGACCGTGTTTTAAAATAAAAAAAATTCAAAATCTTTATTTTCCAAAACACTCGTATTACCAAAAATTACCGCTCACGAGAAAAAAAAGAAAGGAAAAAAAAATCTGAACAACTTATTACAACTCATTCCCACAAAAAGAGAGAAAATATATATAAATAAAATAAAAATTAACGAACCTCAAAACTCAGCCCGAGTTAGATTCTGTGTGCTGACACTGTATCCTCCGAGTTAAGCAACTCTTCCCAATCGATTTCCTCATCCTCCGAGTCTTTCGCCCTCAACACCTCAAGAATTCTCGTCACCTTCTCCCTCGCCCGCTCGTTCCCCATTGCCTCCACCTTTCTCAACACTTCCTCCGCCCCCGCCTCCTTCGCCAACCCCTTGAACCTCAATCCGCCATAGCTCAGCCCATACAACGCTGCCAAGCAACTCTCCCGAGTCGACTCGGATTCAAACTCGTCTTGACTAAGCTTACTCACTAAACAGTCCACCCCACCACTATCCAGCATTGCTGTCCTTCCTTCCACACTGGCAGCTAAGTTACATAGAGTTAAAAGGACCCGACTCGTCATGTGACCCGATTTCATCATGCCCAATAAAATCTGGATCGCCCCGAGTTTGATCATTTTGACCCGATTGCTCTGCACTAAAGAAAGGTGATACAAAGCCAAAGCCGAGTCGTGGCGAGTCCGCTCCGAGTCGGATCGGAGGGCGTGGAGAAGCGGTGGCAACGCGCCCAAAACACCAATGGCAGTTTTGTTCTGATCATCGAGGGATAAACTGAAGAGTACACCGGCTGCATGGTCTTGACCCTCAGGGAACCCTCCCCTTAGAACATCAATCACCGGTGGAACAATCCCAGACCGTAGGATCTTCACTTTGTTTTGTTTCTCCAGAGACAGATTCACCAACACCGCCACTGCATTCACTTGCAACGATGAATATCTCGAGGTAATCAATGATTTGAGGGCCGAGAGTAATCTCGGAGTACAAAGATAGAGTCGGGTTTCCTCCTTGGTGCGAGTCAGTTTTCGAAGTGAAGTTAAAGCCTCTTCCTGTTCAGAAACCTCACAACTTCTCAATTTCATAATGAGTTCTTCATCTTCCAGTGAGCTAGAATTTAAGATTTCCATATCTGAGGAAGAGGATGATGAATAACAAGTGGGTCGAGTTTTTAGCGTTAAGGGAGTGAGGAACCCGTTTCTGGGCGTCACCGATTCTTCCGAACTAGTTATCGACACCTGACTTGGAGTCCGAGTTAACTCAGTTCCGTCATCCGCACTATTGTGGTGAATTAATGTACTGACGATTTTTTCTGCTGAGTAAAAATCAATGGGTTTAGGTGGGTCGATGAGATGGGTCCGGCACCAATTGATGATGGTGAATTTAAGGGCGAGATTGGGTATGATGGTGGAGAAATCGGGGCTGGAACCATCGGCCAATTTGGGTTTGAAGGATAGTGAAACGCAAGCATGAACGCAATTCCGTTCAAAAGTGTGGCCAGAGGATACTATAACAGGATCCGCCATTAAAGCACCCGATATTGGACACAGAAACTCGTTTGGAATAGATGGGCATTGCTTTTTGAGGAGGAATAGCGCGGATGGTGACTTGTGAAAGTAAATTTTCCACCTCTGCTTCCCAGTCCCCATTTCTTCTTTCTCAAATGATCAGTGGTTGTTGGGTTTGCCCATATGATTGAATTTATTGATGATAAACTAACATATGAAGATTTTGAGGAAAGGATAATCCGTGGAATTAGGGATTACGATCACGATTTTGAATGGGAGAATATCATGGAGAACACTCGATCGACGACGAGGACAAGGACGTTGTGTATTTAACAGAAAAGATAAAGATAAAGACCATGACGATGATGAAGATGATGAAAATAGTATGAATTAAGGAATAAATGAAAGATTTTTGTGTCTTTGCTGAATTCTTATTGCTCTTTTTCTTTTTGGAATTATGGGAATTTGGACAATTAAGGAACAGAAAAGAAAAAACAATATTTTTGTTTTTAGAATATATTTGGACAATTTTCTAGGTTTGTTTAGTGCACTTTGAAGTTTTAACTTATAACAATGTGAGAATATAACAATGATCTTTTAATCATTAGTAGTATTAAAATATTTATTTTACTTTATAATAATAAGTAATATTATTGGTGTGTTTGAGCCTCGTTATTTTTGAAGAATGTATTTTAGAATATTAGATTGATGGAGAATGTGTGGTTGAAAAAGAAGAAAAAGTTATTGATGTGACAGAAAATATTATTTTATTGAAGAGTGTGTGGTTGAAAATGAGTAGAAGAATAATAATGAAAATTTTAATGTGATTCAAACATGGACTAAATATTTGTTTATGACAATGTATTCACTATAATTATTTTAAATTTAAAAAATCAACATTTATTAAATTTCAAAATTTATAAAATTACAAAAGAAAAACATATTCCACCCAGTACAAAAATGTCCAAGAGTATCTTACACTTGCAATTATTCGATTTTTTTATTATCCATTTTCATTTAATAAGAAACAATATCAAAAAAATTTGAATTATCTTTCATGTGAGCTATGGATGTAAGTTGCTTTACTATTGGAAAGTTAATTAATCTACAATATAAAAGAAAAGGAACAATACATAACTCCTATTTTTAAAAATCACATTTCATAAATAACAAACTCATTAAAATATTTCAAAAACCAGGTAGTAAATAAATTTATTAAATATTAAAATATAATATAATATACATTAATTATTTCTATCAATGCCACCTTACCTACCACATCCTATCACCCCACTACACCACATTCCCTCCACCTCTCCACCGGAGACGGCCATCAGCTCCGGCAATCACTTCGGCGACTATTTCGATGGTCACACCGGCAACTGTTCCGACGATCACTTTGTTTGCAGCTCCGACGACTTTTTCGGTGGTCGCTCCGATAATTTAAAGATTTCTAGAAAATTAAAAATCGAAAATCACACCCCACCCCCCATGGATCCACCACCACCACCCCACCCCATCCCATCTCTGCCTCCATCTCCTAAAAAATTACCAGAAAAATTTGTGTTCAGTGTAGCCGTCTGTGACTAATTTTCCTTATTTTTATGGAAAACATTTTCTTTGAGATGAGTAAGTTTTTGTTTTCCACAAAACAAGGAAAATATTTTCTTTTCTATGATATATTTTTCAAATCAGTCAAATACACTCTAAGAGTAATTATATTCGTTCCACAAATTTACTTATTTAACCATATTTTAATTGCACTTAAAATTCTCAATATTTGCTCAATATAACATTTATGTTTCTCACAATTTTTTATCGACCTTATATTTAATTTTTCATTAATTAGCAAATCACATTCTTAATGATGAATTCTCTCAAAATATCTTATTTGTATGCCTAGAAACGAGGAAAAATCATCTTTTAGATTTATTATTATTTTTAAAAAATGACAGAAAAATAGTTTGTTTTACGTCCTCCAATGGACTTTTTGGACGAAAATTGTTTTTAAAGAAAAGATGTTCAAACTAATAGAGTAATAAGGATAAGAATATTTCAAAAAAAGTTATGGACATAATTATTTTAATAAGCAAGTATGGATGACTTTAAATACA